GGAAGCAGCCCAAGGAGAGAAAAGCCACAGTGTCACAATTGAAAGATGGCTGACACCGAGGCTATCTACAAGCTTAAGTCTTAAAACATTCAGCTCAGGTCAGGGTCAGAGAACCAGTGAGCTTTCCTAACAGCCCTAAAAGAATCTCCTATCTCGCAGTCAGAGGGCGGAGGTAGCTGAATATTAAACATTCACTTGTGTGGTTGCAGAATTGCAACATTAGTTGAATTCACAGCCTCTTGAAGTCTCTCATGTGAAAGGACATTGTTTGGACTCAGATGAAACAGAAAAATTCAATTTCCTAGTCACTCTTCCTTGCCTGTGAGAAGCAGTTTGCTTCCCTGTGTCTGGGGAAACTGGTCTTTCCTTGCTTGAAAACACTAATAACCTCACCTGGGGCAGTTTCCATTCCCCTCAAGACTTAGCTAACTGCATGCTGTCTGACCCACTTGTTACCAGTCGACCCATCACTAGGATCTTTTTATTCTCTGACAGAGAAAGCACAAATTCCCAACTGAAGAAGAAATAGCTTATACCCCAAAAGAACTTCAAGGTTTTGCTGATACAGGGAGAAGCCTAGGGAATATGTATGGAAATGTATTCTAAGAATGTGAGATGGGGGCGCCTGGGTGGCTCACATGGTTAAGCGTCTGCCTTCGGCTCGGGTCATGATCCCAGGGTCCTGGGATCGAGTCCTGCATCGGGCTCCCTGCTCCTTGGGAGCCTGCTTCTCCCTCTGCCTCTGTCTCTCTCTCTCTCTGTCTCTCATGAATAAATAAATAAATAAATCTTTAAAAAAAAAAAAAATGTGAGATGAAGGGCAGACTGTAACACTAGCTTGGGCCAAACTGGTTTGGGTGCACTTACATATTCAGGATCTGATGTATCAGCACATATAGCAGGACATGGCCCCAGAGTTGGTTAGCCACAACAAACTCACTGCTTCCCTGGCGTTATGTGGAGGGGATCCAAAGGCTTAGGGAGGTAAGAGGGGATTAAACAATCTTACGTTACCTTCATACCACCCCTCACCTTCTCCAGCTACTCAGCTACTCCTGAGAAGTCCAGATGAGAACAACTAACATTTAATATTTCACAATTTCTGAGGGTCATGGTTGGCTTAGCAGGGTAGTTGTGGCGCAGGGTCTTTTGATGAGGCTGCAGTCAGGAGGTTGGCTAAGAATGCATTATCTACAGGCTTGCCTGGGACTGAAGGGTCCGTTTCCAAGATGGCTCACTCATGTGCTCTTGGCAGGAGGCCGCAGTTAGTTGCCACATGAGCATCTCCAGAGCAGTTTGAGTGTCTTTGCGTCTTGGCAACTGGCTTCTCCAGAGGAAGCAGCCCAAGGAGAGAAAAGCCACAGTGTCATGCCTAGCCTTGGAAGTGAGGTTGTATTCTATTGATCACATAGTCCAACCATGACACGTGTTGGAGGAAACTGCACGGGCAGGAATACCAGAGGCAGGAACCACCAGGAACTATGCTGAATGCTGGCCATCATGGCAGCTTTGCCTCCCAGCAACCAAATTGGCCACCTTCCTTCTCCATAGGTACTTCTCAGGCTTCAGGGGGCTAGGCTCAGGGAGGCAGTTCAAGGTTGGCTTAGTGGAGGTGTGGTTCCTGAATCTTGGGAAAATGTTGGAGTGAAGGGCTAAGAACTGTGTGAAGAAACTCAATGAGAGAAATTAATACTGTATGTTTTCTCCCAGCCTTCATGGATCTGTTTGGAGACATAGATGACATTTCTTCAGAGAGCGATGGGGACAGTGAACAAACTGTTCCAGGGCAGCCTGCTGTAAGTACAATCACCAACCTCAACGGGTCCCATTGTTCCAAGTTAAAGTTTTAAAGGCTGAAGGGTCTGACTCCTCTGGAGAGAGGACGTAGATAATTGAGTAGCGGTCTGAAACATCTGAGGAATGGGTGACTTTCTCAGCTATGTTGGGAACTGTGGATATTTGAAGGCACAGAAGGAACTGCTTAAAATGAGGTTGATGCCAAACTTTAGGGGCTAAACTGTGAGGACTTGTAATTTAAAAACCTTTGATTTAAGTTTTTCTTTTCTTTTTTTTAAAAGATTTTATTTATTTGACAGAGAGAGACACAGCAAGAGAGGGAACACAAGCAGGGGGAGTGGGAGAGGGAGAAGCAGGCCTCCCGCTGAGCAGGGAGCCCGATGTGGGGCTCGAACCCCATGACCTGAGCCGAAGGCAGACGCTTAACGACTGAGCCACCCAGGCGCCCCTCTTTTCTTTCTTTTCTTTTTTTTAATATTTTACTTATTTGAGAGACACAGAGATAGAGAGGTCATGACCAGGGAGGAGAGGAAGAAGCAGACTCCCTGCTGGGCAGGGAGCCAGATGCTGGGCTCAATCCGAGAACCCTGGGGTCATGACCTGAGCCAAAGGCAGATGCTTAACCGACTGAGCCACCCAGGCACCCCTTGATTTAAGTTTTTCTTTCTTTCTTTTTTTAAGATTTTATTTACTTATTTGTGTGTGACAGAGAGAGAGAGAACACAAGCAGGGGGAGGGGCAGGCAGAGGGAGAAGCAGGCTCCCCACTGAGCAAGGAGCCAGATGCAGGACTCAATCCTAGGACCCTGGGGTCATGACCTGAGCCAAAAGCAGACGCTTAACCGACTGAGCCACCCAGGCACCCCTGATTTACGTTTTTCTTAATGCAAACCTGTGCCAGAAAGCATGTGCTATTTGACTTCTCTGATTTTAATAGTTACTTAGTACTGGGGGGTTGTACATTTTCACAGTTCTGTCATTTAATGTCTTATGCAAACCAGATATGTCGACAAAATAAATATTTTTTCTGGTAATGCAGGCTAACAGATCTTGTTTCCCATGGTGGTAGTTTTGGGGGAGAGGATGAAATTTTAGGGAGAGGCTGAAATTTTAGGGAGAGGCCTGGAGGGGTTGCTGACTGTTTTCTTCCGAAAGCGGTGTCTGAATTTATTTTCGGTCACACCTGTATCTCCTAGTACTCTAGAAGAGCTAGAGCATTTTTAATTTCACTTCAAGCTCTCACATCCCGATTCCTCTCTTAGGATGAACATGGAGTGCCTCAGGACCAGCAGGAGGAAGAGCCGACTTCTGAGACCAGAATAGAAGTAGAAATCCCCAGTATCAACTCTGATTTAGGAAATGAATTGTACTTTGTTAAACTACCTAAAGTTCTCAGCATAGAACCCAAGTAAGAGGACTGATTAAAGTTTTTTTCAAGATACTAAATTAAAATATGTGGAATGTAAATGTTTTTCTATCATGAGTTGGCTAATTATAAAGATAGGAGATTCCTCATATACCTCTGGAAAAGTAAGTTTAGGATGTGCTGTGTGGTAAAAAATGAGTTACTGGTGTGAGAATTTTATTTTTAAAGATTTTATTTTATTTTAAGATTTTATTTATTTGTCAGAGCGAGCACAAGCAGGGGGAGCAGGAGAGGGAGAAGCAGGCTCCCCGTTGAGCAGGGAGCCCGATGCAGGACTCAACCCCAGGACCTGAGGATCATGACCTGAGCTGAAGGCAGACGCTTAACCCACTGAGCCACCCAGGTGTCCCTAAAGATTTTATTTATTTATTAGAGAGAGAGAGAGTGCATGAGAGGGGGGAGGGTCAGAGGGCGAAGCAGACTCCCTGCTGAGTGGGGAGCCCGACGCGGGACTCGATCCCGGGACCCTGGGATCAGGACCTGAGCTGAAGGCAGATGCTTAACCAACTGACTCAGACACCCAGGTGCCCCTTGTGTGAGAATTTTAATGTGAATGATTATTCTAGCATTTGGAACTTATAAATATAACAGACATGACAGTTGACAAAGGTGTTTTTCACTAGTGTAAAGCTGAAAAATCAGAAAATGAGATTGAGAAAGTTTGCTGGAGAATTCATAAATGTTCAGTGCAAAAGCCACTATGGCTGGAAAAGACAATGATTTTGGACAACAAAATAGTATTGATGGGTATTTTTCATGAAGGTTCATGAGTATAAGCTCTTGTGTAATTAAACAGGATACTTTTCTTTAAAAAAAAGTAGACCATTGTCTTATTTATATTTTAGAAGACCTATCTCTTCAAACAAGACTTTGAATTATTAGTCACACTTGGATTTTTTTCAGATAATGTTTTAAAATCAAATTTCAAGAAAGTACACTAATTTGCATACTTTCTTGAAATTTTACATGAAGTTATTTGTCTACTGTGACTTTTAACATATTGGTACATGTGGCAAAGATGATTATTTTATAAGCATTAATAATATTCATTACTAAATATGGCTAACATGAGATTAAAAAACGATTTTTAGACCTTTCGATCCTCAGTATTACGAAGATGAATTTGAAGGTGAGAAAATGCTTGACGAGGAAGATCGAACCAGGTTAAGATTAAAGGTACCATTCTATACTTGATTTTTTCTTTTTCTTTTGAAGTATTTCGTTAAGTAAAACAGAGATAATGACTTGAGACTTGAGATTATGAAATGATCTTTTATGTTTACTCTTCAGTCAATAAATAACTTTAGAACAAGGACTGAAATGTCTTTTCAGAATATTTTTTGGGGAGAGGTTACATACCCTTTTTTTAATCCCTGTAATTGTCACTTTTCTAACTTTTTTCTCCCAGTTGTAATTTTTCAATAGAAGTAACAATACAAATTCTTGAAAATTGTTAGCTACTTCCTTTAGGATAAATATAGTTAGGTATAGGGAGTTGCCTCTACATTTTATAGTGGGTAGACCCTTGCAGCTTCCCACGATAGATGTCGCTCAGGCTCTTTATGGAATTCCGACTATGCACAAAGAGAGGCCTTGTCTTCAGGCAGTTCCTCTCAAGAAGGCCTGGGATGGCAGGACATGCCTGTGCTCTCACAGGGCTGTTGTCTTCTTGCTTGGAGTTGGGGATGAGCTTCTTCTGGGGGCAGAACCAATTTTTAGGCTACCTTTGTGATTTGGAGTTCCTTACTACTCGGGTAGGACACATTTCAACTGAAAAACACAGCAAAGTGGAAGTCTCAAGTTTAAATTGTTGTTGATTTCTTAATTGTATATTCTTTTATCTTTTTATTTTTAACTTAATGCCCAGAGCTTCCCTGTCTCACTAGGTCAGGCTTACTAGTCCCTCCTTCATTGGGTTCATAGCACTTCCAGTGGACATGCGGTAGGCAGAGGTCTCCATTTTAACTGCCTAACCCCTGTGGACCCAAAGCCTCATCCTCCCTTCTTTGGAGCTCCTAGTGTGTGTGATAATATCTCCATCCTGCATCGTACTTCGCTTCTGCTTCCACTGCTATGAACTAGAGCTCAGGAAAGGTTTTAACAAAATGGTTAGTTTAACCAGTATCTCTAGGTATTTGTTGCAGGAGGGTTTCAGTGTTGCCTGATGGGCTAGTTCTTTTGTGAGCTTCCTATACCACTACATACTAATTCTTGGCACATGATTGTAAGTCACTGGAGGAAAAAAGAACATGCAGTTTAGTTACTTTGGTTTTCTAATGCCTTTGTGTTTTGAACCAGGTAGAAAATACGATAAGATGGAGGAAACGCCGGGATGAGGAAGGAAATGAAATTAAGGAAAGCAATGCTCGGGTGGTCAAGTGGTCAGATGGGAGGTGAGCCCATAATGCCCGGAGGGCACTGGAAAACCCAGAGGGGTACCTGGGAGGAACGGGGTTCTCTGTGCAGGACCTTACTTTGGGGCCATCTTTCATTAAAGAATTAATGAAATCTAGGCCTCTGGGAGGACACTTTAGAAGTGGGCGCAGGATGTGATCAGATTCATGGTAGCTGCCTTCTCCAGGGGAAAGCCTAAGGCTAGCTCACATGCATGAGGTACTCTTGGGCAGTATACAATGGTATTTTGGGAAAAAATTGTTTTTATCTTACTAATGAAGTAGAGATTGGGAGAATGACAAAACAATTAGATTTCAAGTTAAAGGAAGGATGAATTTTATCACCTTTGGCTTTAAAAGGGAATACCTTATTTACAGTGCCTCTGTTTTTCTCATGAATTCAGGACACAGTTCCACAGCAGTTTAAGTAAAGCCTATAGGGGAGAATGGAAACTGTGGGATTTGTTGAATGTCCACCCCAGTACTGAACACTTTCTCGTTTGCAGCCTTTCCCTGCATCTAGGCAGTGAAGTGTTTGATGTCTACAAAGCCCCAATGCAGGGCAATCACAACCACCTGTTCGTTCGAGAAGACACTGGTCTACAGGGACAAGCTGTCTTTAAATCCAAACTCACCTTTAGGTAACTGTTCATCCTGACATGTTGTTACTGGTAGTTAAAGCAGCAAGGCAGAGAGTTGTGCAGAAAGCCTGACTCAGCCCTGATTGACATGATTTCAAGGTGCAGCTCACCAGGGATGTGGTCTGGTTCCCGTGCTATTTTTTCACTTTTACTACAAATTGCTGTTTCTCAGGGAGCCAGTTCCTGCTGTCAAAACCAACCTGAGACACTGTATAAACCAGAAGACCAGTGAATGAATTCACATTGGTCAGTGCAACTGGTAGGAGGCCTAGAAGACTGGTCTTTGCCACTCGGCCGGCCTGTGTCCTTTCCCTTCAGTGGAGTTTAGCTGGGAGGCTGGCCGAGCATGAGCATGTTATTGGCGTGTGCACACAGTAGAGGAAAGGGCTAGATGACGGGAGGGGCTGCGGCCTGACCCCAGGCAGACCTATGCTTCATACCCATGCGGCAGCCTCTTCGCTGGATGCTCCTCGCTCCGCTTCTTCGCACACCTTCCCTCTAAGGACACCATGCTGTTACCCTTAATGCGGCTCTCCTCAAAGTGGGGCACTTAGCAGACTAACAGTGTGCACAAGGTTTCTTTTTGAGGTCATGGAAATGTTCTAAAATCAGAGTGTAGGAGTGCCAGGGTGGCTCAGTCGTTAAGCGTCTGCCTTCGGCTCAGGTCATGATCCCGGGGTCCTGGGATCGAGTTCCGCATCGAGCTCCCTGCTCGGCAGGAGCCTGCTTCTTCCTCTCCCTCTGCTCCTCCCCACCCCCACTTGTGTTCTCTCTGTTTATCTCTCTGTCTCAAATAAATAAATAAATAAATATATAAATAAATAAAATCAGATTGTAATAGTGGTCGCACTTTATAATTTAAAAAATTGTTTAATTGCATATTAAAATGACTGAATTTTATGGTATGTAAATTACACTCAATCTGTTACGCCTTTTTAAGGACAGACAGCTTTGAGGTTGTGTCTCACTTCTGTCTAAGCTTGAAGAAGAGTCTCAATCTCACTTTTATTTTTTTAATTTTTATTTATTTTTTTAGAGAGAGAAAGTGTGTGTGACTTGGGGGGAGGAGCAGAGGGGGGGAGAGAATCTTAAGCAGGCTCCACGCTCAGCACAGAGCCCGAAGCGGGGTTCGATCTCACAACCCTAAGATCATGACCTGAGCTGAAATCCAAGAGTTGGACGCTTAACTGACTGAGCCAGCCCGGCGCCCCACACTCTCACTAAGTTTTAGTTTCCTTATCTATAAAATGGAGATAACACCTACTTCACAGGGATGTGTGTCAGTTAAGTCAAATAATACATAAGAGGCCATGCGGTGCAGAGACCTGGCATAATAAATGCTGTTCAAATCCAGCCTCTTCCTGAGCTCCCTCGAGCGGCGGTGTAAGAGACAAACGATTCCAGGGCATGCTTTTTTTGCACTGTGCTCCGAGTTCCACATTCCTTACATCCCTCTCTCTCCAGTCTCAGAGTTGGTCTCCTAAGGAACTCCCTTTCTTCTTTCTGATGTACTGAAGAACTGCCTCCTTCTAGTCAGGAATGTACTGTGTTCTGCCCCAGGGACTCCCATTCTAGCGGCTACTGTCCTGGGCTGTCCTGAGGCCTCCTTGCCTTGACCTTCCCTCTAGTCGTTTGCAGATGGAGGGACGCCTCTGTAGTTCTGGAATCACAGCTTCCGGCCTCTGCCTCACCCTCACAGAACTGAGATTTCCCATCCCTTCTTTTCTCTCTGATGGCCCTGGGCGGGGGTGGGGGGGCGGTGGGGCTTGTAGGGGGTGGTTCTTTGGAAAAGCCCTTGACCTTGCTGCCTGCTCTCCTCCTTCCTCCACTTGCACTCCCCGCCCCTCCCCCCCAGCATTCCCTGGAGATGGGACAGAGGGAGGGAGCAGAGAGTGAGGACGCTCAGAGCGCCAGGACCCGAGACCCGGCCTCCCTCATCTGCTGAAGGGGAAGTGGTCACTGTCCGCAGCTGTCTGTGCCGTTGACGTAATCCCCCCTCACCGTTCGTAGTCTACAGCGAGACGTTCCTGTCTCCCAGCAGACCTCACTCTACAGACTGTGCCACACACAGAAAGATGACCCTGCCACTTGATAAGAGATGCTCAAAGACGCAGAGGATTAGAATCTTACCGATGGCTGGGCGTGATCCCGAGTGCCAGCACCCTGAAATGATTAAGGTGCGTCCGCTAAGCTTTATCCTGGGATTTTTGGGGTATTAAGAGCTGTACTTTTCCAGAATACTAATTCACAATTTTGTATCGCCACAACCATTTTATTTCTTGTTGTTATCAGGGAGCCAGCTCAAACCCAAGCGTGTGGTGAACCATAGTAATGTTAGTGACCGCCGATGAGATATAGCAAACCAGACACCTGTGCTCTCTGTTCAGTGTATGAGATTTCAGGGGAAATCTGATCATTTAGAAAACGTAACCTTTGACAGATACCATAAAACTTTGTTAGCCAGATAGGAAATGGCTAGGAAGGTCAAAAAGACATTCCTAACTCCTTGGACACCAGCTCTGCCTTGTGAACACCAGTGTGTGGATTGCCAGGCAGAGGAAGGGTGTGATTGTTCTGCTCTGGGGCTCAGGGACTCTCCCCTACCAGCGCCTCCCCATCCTGTCATCGGGAGCTCTGGGGAAGCTCTCTGCGGGGAGGGGCCCGGATAGGAACCTCTGGGCACCACTGTAGTTCGGTGGAGCCCGAGCGAGCCGGGTATCTGTCTCAGGGGTCAGCAGACACAACCTCCCTCACGTGTCCACCTGGCACGGCTGAGGTTCCTCAGGCTGCTTGCTGCTCTCTGGGCTCTGACTGGCTGCAGGGGGGACGGCGGCATGCAGCTCCCAACGCCGCGTCTGTGCCCGTTCTGATGGGGCAGTTAGCGCGAGGGAGTGTTCTGCCCCGCCCCCCTGTGCTGCCTTCGTGCCTTAGAACTAAACTGCACAGACTGCTGCCTGTGTGTGATAACAGGGGTGGGTCGGGGAGAGCTGTTCTCTGAAAACAAGAAATGTAGTAAACGTAGGTTCAAGTGGGCACAAAGGTAGTTCATTTTTTCAGTTAAAAAGTTCATTTCCTTCTTTACAGAAAGAAGAACGTTTGAGGGCTTCTACTCACGAGACCACCCATCTATGGGAGAAGCAGAACCAGCAGGGGCTGAGTGTCCCCTACCAGGACCGTAACAGTGTCCATGAGGAGGAGGAAGACGCCGAAGCCATTAAAAACCATTACCAAGGGGAGCTCCAAGGTGAGTTGGGCATGGAGGTCACATCTCATCTGAGGGCTGCGGAGGCTTGCCCTGCTGTGATTTACTTAGGGCAACAGTACGAAGGCCTTTTATTTTTACTATTTTTGTTGGGGCCACTTTCCCACAGAAAAGCTTAGCTGGGAAAATAAGGCACCCCCAAATAAAATTAATTAAATAATTTATGTCCTTATGGAGGAAAATGTGGTAATGAGCAGTTTGCCTGCTTATGTAGTTGACCCAGTATTTAAACTTTGTAGTATTTAATGTGTACATAAAACCTCTTGGGTGTTCAAAAGTGATGACGCTTTCAGAACAAAACCTCCCAAATCGAAGTCATTTCAGCATGTCTGACAGTTATATATACCTTCTCATCAAAACTTTCAAAATGTTAAAAAAAAAAAAAAAAACTTTAAAAATGTTGGGGCGCCTGGGTGGCTCTGTCAGTTAAGCTTCTGCCTTCAGCCCAGGTCATGATCCCAGGGTCCTGGGATCGAGTCCTGCGGGGAGTCTGCTTCTCGCTGTCATTCTCCCATGGTGCTCTTCCTCTTTTTCCCTCCCTCCCTCCCTCTCTCTCTCTCAAATAAATAAATAAATAAAATCATTAAAAAAAAAACCACAAAAACTTTAAAAATGTTGTTGGCTCCAGAAGGGATAATTAATGTAAAGTGGGAAGCAACAACATTCAGGAGAAAAACTCAGGAATAAACAGGCCTTCATCTTTGAGGGTCAATCCCATGTCTGAAGTTCCTTTGCTTTTAGAGGAACGAGCCAGAATCTATTCTTCAGACAGCGATGAAAGATCAGAAGAAGAAAAGCCTTAATGATTCCTGAGAGCAAGGAAACTCATCAGTGATGAGGTAGAACCAAGTTTATTCAACTCTAAGGGGTTTGTTCTGAACCCAGGAGCCAACTCCTGGACTGAAGAGTAGCTCCCAGCCCAGGAGCACAGACAGATGTCTGTAGGCTTCACTGGAAGTCAGTGAGGTAAATGCAGTGACAGGAGCGGGAGCGGCCAGAGGAGGGTCTGACCCCTGTGCTCAGGCGGGTGTTGGAAGGCTGCTCAGAGGAGACCTCTCGCTGGGTGTGGAAGAAGGTGTTAGCTTGCAGGGCACACGGGCCTGGTGGGCGTCTGAGGAGGATGGGAAGGCCTGTGAGAAAACGTGCGGGGCCCTGCGTTACCCTAAGGCACCACCACGCCCAAAAGTAATTCAGTGTGGTAGAGCAAGGCGTATACCATGGTCCTCGTGGTAACCTGGCATCTTTATTTTTTGGGTGTAATAGTAATTGAGGGTTATTCCATTTTCACATTACTAAAATACTTTCCCTTTAATTATTTCCTTTTCCACTTATGTCGTAAGTACAAATACATTTTAAGTCTTAAATATACAGGGAATCACTATATTATTGCCCAAACACTATTTAATCGATTCACTGTTTTCTGAATGTTTAATATGCTTTACTCTAGGTTTAGAGTCACAGATTGGTAACAGTAACATCACAGTAACAGAAATGTTAAGCATGTCAGTTAAGCACGAGTCACCTGAGGGAGGCATTCATTTTTCATATAAAAATATATATTTAAACAAAATCTTTAAAATATATATATTTAAAATGTTAGGGGCGCCTGGGTGGCTCAGTCAGTTGAGCATCTGACTCTTGATTTTGGCTCGGGTCATGATCTCAGGGTTGTGAGGTTGAGCCCCAAGTAGGGCTTCATACTCAGTGTGGAGTCTGCTTGAGATTCTCCCCCCTCCCCCGCCACTTGCTCTCTCTCTTTCTAAAATAAATCTTTATTTTTTTAAAATATTTTATTTTTTTATTAGAGAGAGTGAGAGAGAGAACAAGCAGGGGGAGCAGCAGAGTGAGAGGGAGAAACAGGCTCCCTGCTGAGCAGGGAGCCCGATGCAGGACTCGATCCCAGGACCCCGGGATCATGACCTGAGCCCAAGACAGATGCTTAACCACTGAGTCACCCACGCGCCCCTAAATAAAATCTTTAAAAAAAAAATAAAACTTCAAAAGTATACTAAGAAAGCCCATAAAATGCAAGCAGTCCTTTTTAAAAACCCACAGGCTTTAAAATACTGAATTTTAGATTAAAAAAGTGAAATAGTGAGGAAGCAGGGGAATGTATTTCAAGTAATATGATTGGAACGTCAGTCAGTATGGAGTGAGCAGGAAGCAGCTCTTCTGCCCTGACCGCTGCCTGGGGAAGCCCAGGTTCGTGGGGCCTGACTGGCTAGAGACAGTGTCTGTGGACATGGGTTGCTCCTGGGGGGTGGCCTCCTGATGTGAAGGGCTGGCTCCCGCATCAGCTCAGAACCACTTTATTATTTTTTTTAAGTTTTAATTTTAATTCCAGTTAGTTAACATACAGTGTTATATTAGTTTCAGGTGTGCAATATAGTGATTCAAACTTCCGTACAACACGCGGTGCTCATCACAAGTGCCCTCCTTCATCCCCATCACCTATCACCCCTCCCCCACCCCCTCTGGTAACCATCAGTGTGTTCTCTAAGGTTGAGAGTCTGTTTCTTGGTTTATTTTTTTCCCTTTGTTCATTTTTTTTGTTTCTTAAATTTTACATGAATGAAATCCTAAGGTATTTGTCTTACTGTGACTTATTTCACTTAGCATAATACTCTCTAGCTCTATCCACATCATTACAAATAGCAAGATTTCATTCATTTTTATAGCTGAGTAATACTCCAGTGTATATATACCACATCTTCTTTATCCATTCATCTAGTGATGGACACTTAGGCTATTTCCATAATTTAGCTCTTGTAGATATTGCTGCTATAAACATAGGGATGCACGTATCCCTTTGAATTAGTGTTTTTGTATCCTTTGGGTAAATACCCGGTAGTGCGGTTGCTGGATCACAGGGTAGTTCTGTTTTTAACTTTTTGAGGAACCTCCATAGTGTTTTCCACTGTGGCTGCACCAGTTTGGATTCCCACCAACAGTGCAAGAGGGTTCCTTTTTCTCCACATCCTCACCAACACTTGTTTGTTGTGTTTTTGATTTTAGCCATTCCGACAGGTGTGAAGTGATAGAGCTCATTGTAGTTTTGACTTGCATTTCCCTGATGAGTGCTGATGAGCATGTTTTCATGTGTCTGTTGGCTGTCTGGATGTCTTTTTTTGGAGAAATGTCTGTTCCTATCTCCTATTTTTTAATTGGCTTATTTGGTTTTTAGATGCTGAGTTGTACGAGTTCTTTATATGTAACCCTCTATCAGATATGTCATTTGCAAATAGCTTATCCCATTTAGTAGGTTGCCTTTTAGTTTTGTTGTTCCTTTGCTGTGCAGAAGCTTTTTATTTTGATGAAGTTCCAATAGTTTATTTTTGCTTTTGTTTCCCTTGCCTCAGGGGACCTATCTTGAAAAAAAAAAATTGCTATGGCCAATGTCAGAGAAGTTACTGCCTGTGCTTTCTTCTAGGATTTTTATGGTTTCAGGTCTCGTATTTAGGTCTTTAATCCATTTTGAATTTAGAAAGTGGTCGTTTCATTCTTTTGCATGTAGCTGTCCAGTTTTCCCAACAGCGTTTGTTGAAGAGACTTTATCCCATTGGATATTCTTTCCTGCTTTGCCGAAGATTAACCAACCATATAGTTGTGGGTTTATTTCTGGGTTTTTATTCTGTTGATCCGTGTGTCTGTTTTTGTGCCAGTACCATACTGTTCAGATTACTGCAGCTTTGTAATAGAACTTGAAGTCCAGAATTCTGATGCTTCCAGCTTTGCTTTTTCAAGATTGCTTTGGCTATTCAAGGTCTTTTGTGGTTCCATACAAATTTTAGATTTATCCTACTTCTGTGAAAAATGCTGTTGGTATTTTG